TAGTGAATAATATTTTAAAACGTGGAAGGTTACTTGGATTCAGCTTCCATTTTTGGAATACCTGCTTTGTACTCGGCTTAATTTTATATTTTATATTTTTTATTTTATTTTTTAAAAATATATTTTATTGGATTTTTACAGAGAGGAAGGGAGAGGGAGTGAGAGCCAGAAATGTCGATGAGAGAGAAACATCGACCAGCTGCCTCCTGCACACCCCCTACCGGGGATGCGCCCTCAACCAATGCACATGCCCCCGACCGGAATCGAACCCGGGACCTTTCAGTCCGCAGACCCACGTTCTGCCACTGAGCCAAACCGGTTTCGGCAAATTTATATTTTTTTAAAATGCATTTTCATTGATTTCAGAGAGGGAGAGAGAGCAACAGAAACATCAATGATGAGAGAGAATCATTGATTGGCTGCCTCCTGCACACCCCCACTAGGGATGGAGCCCCAACCCAGATCTGATTGGTCACTGCTATATCCCCAGGACTAGAACAGTAGGTGCTCAACAGAGATAAATGGAACAGAGATCAATAGAGGGGGAAAAGGGAGGAAGGGAGGGACACAAAGATGTCTTTACATGTGGAGCAGGCCTAGGCATGGGAAGCAAAATCTTTGAATCGTCTGAAGTTGTCCTCTTACGTTGTCAGAGTACTGAAACTTTCACGACTTACAGTGATTGGGAACTGGTTTTTTTTTTTTTTTTTTTTTTTTTTTTAAACCTGAGCTTGTCCAGGAGAGAGATGGGACCTGCTCCAGGTTTTAACTCCGGGACAAGAGGACCCAACCTGTAGAAAGAGTCTACACAGGCAGCGGGGGTCAAAAGCAAAGCTGATTTCCTTGCTACGACAGTCACACGTCCCCCTTGATCCATTTGCTGGGACCACATGCACACGTATGTATGCTCCCCTTTCCTTTGCATAAACGTAGTGACCATTCAGATTTGCTGCCTTCTTTTTCTATTTAACTACTCTTGAGGTCATTCTTGTATACACAGAAAAGGCTTCCTCATTCCCATTTATGGCTGAATAGTTTCCACTGTATGGATAGGTCATAATTTACTTAACCAATCTCCTGTTTATGAACATCTAAATAGTTTCCAGCTTTTTGCGTATAAACAATGCTGCGGTGAGTAACCTCCCTTTCACCTACATCGTTTTTGCCCGGGTGCAAGGACATTTGTAAGATGCGGTCCTCGAAGCAGAGTGGCCAGGCCCAAGGGAGAATTGGGAGTTATTGCTTCACATTGGGCTAGCTTGTAGTTTACACTCCCCCCAGCAATGTATAAAAAGTGCCTCTTCCCCAACCTTTTGGGCTCTGCTGATTTGCTGGGTGAAAAATGGAATCTTGGTTTTCTTTTACTTCACTTTAAAAAATATATATTTTATTGATTTTTTTACAGAGAGGTAGAGTTAGAAACATTGATGAGAGAAAAATATCCATCAGCTCCCTCCTGCACACCCCCTACTGAGATGTGCCCGCATCCAAGGTTCCTTGGCCGGAATCGAACCTGGGATCCTTCAGTCTGCAGGCTCTGTCCACTGAGCCAAACCTGTTAGGGCTTACTTGGTATTTCTAATACTATGGTTGCTTCCTGTAAAACACGTGGTTTTGAACGCTGCAGAGTTGAGGCGTGTGTCTAGGTTAATGCAGGACCCACAGCTCCCTGGGGGACAGTCACAGAGGGCTGCACATGGGCCAGGCACACGGGACGTTATTCCCAAGGGCACAGCCAGCATGTGGATTGGATAAAAGCCACCGTGAAGCCTGTTTTCCCCTGGAAGGGAGACTGTCCATCTTCCCCTGATAATGCCAAGGGGTCAGCCAAGATGAAGCAGTGATATACTTTGCCTGCAAGCCATTCAGAACTGGCTTTATGATGACCAGATATCTACCTACTGACTACGCCCATGACCCAGGCCATGGTAAATGTTGTAAAACATCTAGCTTGTGCCTGGCTCTCTCCTCAGTCCTGGGAAAAGAAAGATGAATTACATGTTGTCCCTATCCTCAGCATTCGTCATGATCAGTGTGATTTTTCCAGGGAAACACATAATCACTTTAAAAAACAACAACAACAAAAACTCTATTGATTTGAGAGAGAAAGGGAAAGAGAAAACCATTGACTTGTTGTTCCACTTATTTATGCGCTCATTGGTTACTTCCTATATGTGCTCTGATGGGGGATCAAACCCATAACTTTGGCCCATGGGGAGGATATTCTAACCAACTGACCTACCCAGCCAGGGCTGATCCTAAAATCTATATAAAAATGCAAAGAATCTAAAATAGCCAAAACAATACTGAAAATGGAGAAGAAAGCAGAGGATTTTCACTTCCTGATTTCAAAAGACAATATCAAACTATGTAACTAAAACACTGTGTTACTGGCATAAGAATAGAGACATAAATCAATGGAACAGAATTGAGAGTCCAGAAATAAACCCTTACATTTCTGATAAAGTAACTGAAGGATAAATCAGACTTATATTTTCAAATATCACATGTCCGCTTAAAAACCTGTATCTAGGATATAGAAAGAACTGTACAACTCAATAAAATGGTAAACAATTTAATTTAAAGAATTTTAATAGACTTTTCACCAAAGAAGCTACCCGTGTTTCCCCGAAAATAAGACATCCTCCGAAAATAAGACCTAGCGCATGGAAAGATAAGACATCCCCTGAAAATAAGACCTAGCGCAACTTTGGGAGAAAAAATTAATATAAGACACTGTCTTATTTTCTGGGAAACAGGGTATATAAGTGGCAAATAAACATAAGTAGATGCTCAGCATCATTGGTCGTTATGAGAAGGCTAAAACGGGCTAATTCCATATGTAACTCTGATATTTGGGGGCTAGTGATCTGAACCCATGTCAGCAAGCTCAGTGCACATTCTTGATAACCTATAATTAAGTCACTACCTCCTTCCCAGATACTGGTCTTGCAGTGCACTGCCCCGGAGGGAGGGTTATTAACGCTGGCGCCAGGGCAGACCATCAGATACCTGGAGACCTGCAACCCCTAGGGGCCGTCCTGCAGGCCTGCGAAAAGGACCAGAAGCATAATCCATATTTGTGGGCGAAGACCACAGGGAGATGTACAAAGGGCCTCTTATATGTTTCTACACTCAGATTTGGAAAGTTATTCCGAGTCTGCCGGTGTATTAAAGTGTCCCTCCTCTTTAAAGCATTGCTTGGTTTTCCTGCAACAGTTATAGGAACAAAACTACAATGAGTTTCAACTGCTCCCCCACTAGAATGGTTATAATTAAAAAGAATAGAAACAAGTGTAGAGGAAATTGGAACCTTATACAGTGCTGATGGGAGTGTAGAATTGGTGCAGCCACTTTAGAAAACAATTTGGCACTTTCTCAGAGTTAAACACAGTTAAATGATCCAGCAATTTCACTTCTAGAATATGCCATAAAAGAGAATTGAAAATACACATCCACACAAAGACCTACACAAAGGTTCAGAGAAGCATCCTATATAATAAAGAGGCAATATGCAAATTGACTATCACACCCTCACACAAGATGGCCGCCCCCATGTGGTCACAAGATGGCCTCCACAAGATGGCCGGCAAGGGAGGGTAGTTGGGGGCAATGAAGTTGGCAGGGGGGGCAGTTATGGGCGACTGGGTTGGCAGGGGAGGGCAGTTGGGGCGACTGGGCTGGCAGGGGAGCAGTTAGGTGACAATCAGGCTAGCAGGGGAGTGGTTAGAGGGTTATCAGGCTGGCAGGAAGAAGCAGTTAGGGGCAATCAGGCAGGCAGGCAGGCAAGTGGTTGGGAGCCAGCAGTCCTGGGTTGTGACAGGGATGTCCGGCTGCCAGGTCAGGCCCAATCCCTGTGGGCAAAGGAGAAGGAAAATGGTGTTTCGTCTCCACTTTTGTCATATGAGGCTGGATGGAATCCAGATGATTCCCAAATCCCTGAATTCCCAGCAAGAGCACCTGGGCAGGAAAGCTGGGGCTCTCTGAGCCACTTTGGGGCCACAGTGTCTCTGGGTGAACCAGGTAGCCAAATGCTGACTCTGTCCCCAGAGGAGTCTCTGTGATTCCCAAGAGAACACCCACCAGGGTCCTTACTCTCCATTCTCTAGATGAACCCTCATGACCTCCATCCAGCCCTCTGCTTCTGCCCCTCTCCCATTGCCCTGTCCTCGGAGGAGGCCCCCATGGGCGGGGTCCTTTTCAGAAGGTTCACAACCACTTTCCTTCCTACGGTTCCAGTTCCCACCCATGGAAACAGTAACCACACCCCTCCATCAGCCTGTTCTCAGAGCAACTGGTGTGTGAGCTGCTGGGCCCTCTATGTCTATTTGATCCCGGCATCAAACTGCAAGGTGGGCATTTTCACCTGCCCCATCCCCTTCACAGACAAGTAAACGGAGGCCCAGGCACAGCAAGCTGAACTGGTTGGTATTAGAATCTAAGTTTGCCTGAACTCAAAGCATTTTTCTTTCTTCCATGTCAAGGATCTTGGCTGGACTGGGGTTACCGCCATCATTAACAGCACATTTTTTTAAAATGTGGTTTTATTGCCCTAGCTGGTTTTGCTCAGTAGTTAGAGGGTCAGCCTTTTGATCAAAGGGTTGTGGTTTCGATTCCCAGTCAAGGGCATGTAACTCGGCTGCAGGTTCTCCAGCCCGGCAGGGGTGCACGGGAGAGGCAACCAATAGATGTGTCTCTCTCACATTGATGTTTCTCTCTCTCCCCCTCCCCCATTCTACTCTCTCTAAAAATCATTGGAAAAAATATCCTCCGGTGAGAATTTAAAAAATGTTTTAGTGATTTTAGGGGGAGAGAGAAACATGGATGAGTGAGAACCTTGGCTATACTGCCTCCTGCACACCTCTTACTGAGCATTGAGCCTGAAATGCAACCCAGGCATGTGCCCTGACCAGGAATCAAACCAGGGACTTCTCATTCGATGGGATGATGTCCAACTAATTGAGCCATAGCAGCCAGGGCAACAGAAAAATATTTAATAACTACCTGGTGAAGGTCAGACCAGGTAATCCAAGCAAACTGGAAGCTCAGGGTGAGGCAAAAGGCAGGAACAAAAGGGGGAAGGGGTTCAGAATAGGCCTCCCCAAGATGTACCCACACTTGGGCGTGACAATTATCTTGAACTAAAGACCCTCTGGGTTCAAGAATAGCCTTCATCTCTCCCTTAAAGAGTGTACATTGGAGGCCTTGCTCAGATTAAGAGTTATGGCCAGAAATAAATGTCATGACCTATTTGTACGTCGGAGCAAACATATCTAATCACTGAACATCTCCTATTATTGTCCTGTGAATTACCCTCCTCCCCTCTGAAATCCCAAGACCCTATCCTATTCCTTGGCTTAAGACGTTATAGGCATGGTATAGAAACGCCCTATTACTTCTCATCTTGGAACCTGTCACATATGTGGGGTTCCCAAATGTACAAAATTAAATTTGTTTTTCTCCTGTTACTCTGTCCCGTGTCAATTTAATTATTAGACCAGCTGAAATAACCTTTGTATTAGGGAAGAGTTCATACTCTCCAACAGAGAGATAGGATTGCTCAGCCAAGGTCTGTCCTGGACCCAGGCTCATGTGTTCAGAAAGATCTGGGGAGAAAAAGTCAGCAGGTGATCTGCAGTCTGCGGTCCCAGGGACAGGAGATGGAGGCGCCACTCACTAAAGCTAAAACACTGGCTTCCAAACTGCTGCGAATGGAATCGCCCTGAGATCTTTAAAATGCTGATGCCTGCACCCCACCCCAGACACTCTGGCCCAATCGGTATGAGGAACAACCTGGGCTTCGGGATTTTTGAATGTGTAGCAAAGTTTGTGGCAGGTCTGGGGCTTGGGGAGGAGAGGCAGCAGCTGCAGAGGTCTGAGGGGGAGGCACAGGCAGTGATGTCACCTGCAGGGAGCCTGGGTTCCAGGGCGGGGGCTCGGCAGGGCCTGGGACACTGCACTGACCCCAAGTGGCACTTGGGAAAGATGAGTTGGAAGAGTGAGGAAGGGTAAGAGGGAGGGATGGAAGAGAAATAAAAACCCAGGCAGTGCAGTGAGTTGGAGTCCATTGTCTGTCACAGACTTCCTGTGTGACCTGGGACAGACTGCCTTCCCTCTCTGGGCCTCAGCTCCTCCATCTAGAAGAGGAGGAGATTGAACTTGATGATGAAAGATCCTCTGGCTCCAGGGCAGAGGGTGCTCCGGGCCCCACAGGCTGGACGCGCTCAGATGGAATTCCTGATCTGCAGATGGTAAACAGATGCCTGCCACCGGTCTGGGCAGGGGGCAGGTAGAGGTTCACGCACCCCATCCCCGTCCTCCCTGACCCCGGCCGCTCTGTCACCCTGTGAGACACAGTCCATGGAAATTTCCTCTCAGTCCTTCTAGCCCAGCCAGGGAACATAGCTGCTTTTCCATCTTCAAATGGAAATTTCCACTTTCCTCTGACAGCTGGTGGGAGACACAGGTCCTTGAGTTGAGACAGAGGGCATGGCAATGGTGGGAGAGGCCGGCCACAGAGCATGCAACACGGGTCCAGGCATCCTCCTTCCAGAATAATCCACGGAGCACCTCGCCTGCCGTGGGCTTGGCCCGGTTCCAGGCGCCCGGGACACAGGACAGGACAGACACTGTCTCTGCCCACAGGAAACCCATCTCCTAGTGGGGAGGAGGATGGATATGCACAGTGTGAATAAAGTGAGGCAAGGTAAGGAAACCAGCCTTAAACCCCTGATGCTGGGGCAGGAAGGTGGCTATTTAGAGGGGAGTGCAGGACAGGCCTTGATCGGATAAGGGGACATGTGTGCTTACAGGGGACAGCAAGTATGAGAGGGGTCTTGGCTGGCATTCTGAGGGTGGCAGGGGAGGAGTAGAAGGTGATCAGATCAGAGTGTCCTTCAGGGGCCTCCCATAGTAAGGACTTTGGCTTTTATATATATAAATATAAATAAATATAAATATAATTTATATATTTTTAATTGATTTTTTACAGAGAGGAAGGGAGAGGGACAGAGAGTTAGAAACATCAATGAGAGAGAAACATTGACCCTGGAGATGTGCCCGCAACTAAGGTACATGCCCTTGGCAGGAATCGAACCCGGGACCCTTCAGTCTGCAGGCTGACGCTCTATCCATTGAGCCAAACTGGTTTCAGCAGGACTTTGGCTTTGATGGTTAGGGCTACGGAGTCCACTACGGCTTTTGAGCAGTGGGGTGGCAGCTCTGACTTTACAACCCAGGGCTGCTGTTTCTGTCGATATCAGGGCAGGCTTCTCCTCCAAGGCTTGCTCTCGGCTCACGAGGCCAGGGCAAATGACACTCGTGAATGAACTCAGGCAACAAGCACGAGGCAGTTGCATCACTTGGAGGCCTTGCGGTGGACAGGGAACAGGCCCAACTCCTCCTCCTGCTTCTTGCTGACCCGCATCTGCGGGACGGAGGTTGTGCCATTGGCCACGATGTCTTCCCGGCTTCTGCTGGCAGAATCATGTCGTGTGGGACGCACAGATCCTTCCGGATGTCCACACCACAGTCCAGGACTGAGTCGAAAGCTGTTTCATGAAAGGCCACCGGACTCCAAGGCCAGGAGGGAGGGCTCGAGGAGATGCTTGGGACATCTGGACCTGTCTTGTTGCCAGGGGAGACCTGACCATCAGAGGCTCACAGCCCTTCTCAGGGAGGACACCATGGGGGCGTCTCCCGCTCCGGGTCCAGAGTGATGGAGCCCAGCATCCCCTCCATGTCCCACACCATCCCCTGCAGCTGGGTGGGTGGAGATTTAACCTCTTTTTGCCAGGGTCCCTGTGAGGTCCTCTCATGGTCAGCTGGGTACAGATGCTGGCATGGGCAGGACGTCCCCCTCACTAATGGGCCCTGAGAGTGGCCCCACAAGCATCCTGGTGATGTGAGCGGAGGCACACAGGGAGGCCAGGCCTGGGCAGCAGCCATGTGGGAGGCATGGAAGGTCTCAGACCTGATCTGGGTCAACCTCTCCCTGTTGGCCTGAGAGTCCAGCAGAGCTGGTGAAGAGAACAGGGTATTCCTCCGGCAGCTGTGGGGAGAGTGTGATGCCAGATCTTTCTCCGTCAGCCGAGTTCAGGGGGTACTTCAGGGTCAGGATGCTCCTCTTGCTCTGAGCTCCTCACCCATGTATCTGTTTCATCCCACATTTATGATGACACTTTGGGGACATCGTTCCCACTAATCCAGCTTTGCCCATGCCAGAACCGACTCGGGTGCAGCAATTTCTTCTTCCACTTGTTTTTTAAAAATATTTTTTTATTGATTTCAGAGAGTGAGAGCGGGAGAGAGAAACATCAGTGAATATAGAGAATCATTGATCAGCTGCACGGCCTCCTGCACACCCCACAATGGGGATCGAGCCTGTAACCCAGGCAGGTGCCCTGACTGGGAATTGAACCATGACCTCCTGGTTCGTAGGTCAACCTTAACCACGGAGCTACACCGGCCGGGCTCTTTTTCCACTTGGATGTAGCTGAGGAGGCAAAGGCATTGGGCAGAGTGGGGAGCCAGCTTCAGGTCCCCGGGTGGCTGAGAGAACACACTGCGGAGGGGCCAAGACAGCAGGGGGTGCTGGAGTGGAGGGTCCCCTAGAGATCCCAGGGAGTGATGGTGTGGCCCTGGCAGGGAGGCGGCGGGGAGGGAAGTGGTTGGCTGGTGTCCAGGCATCGGCTTCCATTGCCAGGTCATTTAACCAGCCCCTCCCTGCGGGACACATGCATGGAACCCCACAGCCATCATTCCTTTCATGTGTTCATTCCATCAAGTAGGAAGTGCCCAGACCTACCCTGCTCATCAGTCATTGGCTCCCCTGTGATGACCAAGTCAAATCCAACTCCTTGTCCTGGCTGACCTCCCAGCCCCATGCCTCCCTGCGCCCTCCTACTCCATAGTCCGATGGCCCCCACTTACTGTTACCTTGCCTTCCCAGCTGCTCTTGGTGCTGCTCCCTTTGTCTGAAATATCCACCACAGCTTTCTTAACCTGCTCGACTCCTGCTTCTCCTCTGGGACTCAGTTCAGGTATGGACTCCTCCAGGAAGCCCCCCCTGACCGGTCCCCACCACTGTGGTCTGGCTTGGTTGCTCTTCTCTGTGATTTTGCTGGCCTGATTCCCTACCAGCTCCCCTCACACTGGGATGCCTGTTAGTTGTCTGTCTGCCTCCTGGTCGAATAGAGAAATGAACAAGAGACAGAGTTCCTGTCTAGCAAGGAGAGGGGAGAAATCAGGAAGCAGTCTGCCAGAGAATGGCTAAAAGCGGTGCAGGAGAGAGGGGCCAAAAGTCCTAATTGGTTTGGTTCAGTGGATAGAGCATTGGCCTGCGGACTGAAGGGTCCCTGGTTTGATTCCGGTCAAGGGCATGTACCTTGGTTGTGGGAACATTCCCAGTAGGGGTTGTGTAGGAGGCAGCTGATGGATGTTTCTCTCTCATCAATGTTTCTAACTCTCTATCCTTCACCCCTTCCTCTCTGTAAAAAAAAAAAAAAAATCATTTATATATATATATATATATATATATATATATATATATATATATAATTTTTTTTTTTTAAGAGGGGTCAAGAGTCTACCGGGGGTCAGTGAGTGGAGTGACATTTCTGGAACTTGGAAGGCCTGGGTTCACATTCCAGCACAGCCACTGTGTGAATGGGGCTAAGCATAGCATCTCACTGCAGAGTGGGGGTGATCACACCTCCCTCACAGAGAGGAAGGTGCCCCATGGTTGGCTGGAAGAGAACATATGCTGCTCATTCTGATCTGCTAACATGATGGGTGGGTGAGGGGAACAGACATGCACATTCCTCCCCCATCTCACACTTACACTTCACCCCAGACCACCTTTGGACCAAAGGGAGATGCGCAGCCCAGAAGCCAGGTCTGGCTTCTGGCTGACAGCAGAGTGTCAACGCCTTGAGGGCAGGCATTTTGCCCTTTTGATTCACCGCTGAATTCTCAGCACCTAGGTGGCAGGTACTCAAGAAATATATATATATATATAAATTTTTTAACGCTGTCTAAGTCTATATAACGGCTTATCTCACAGAGGAGAGCACCGGAATAGGTTAGACTTTGTTGCTATAGCAAGCTCAAATTGTGTCAACAGTGTCGAGCTCAATAAATATTTTTTGAAGAAATGACTGCATTCTGGTTCATCTTCCAAA